AAAAGTCACGCTTTCCTTTCCCGTGGGTGTCGTAAAAGGCGACTAAGTGAACTAGGCTAGATCTAGGTCGAGAGATAGGCAGCGGCGTCCCTCTCAAAACATCTCTAAAAGCCTAACTGCGACTGCCAACTCACCTGTCAATTATAACACGAGTATTATAGTATTAAATAGGCATTTACAATTAAAACAAAATCTACCTATTAAATTTTCTGAATCTTCTTTTTTTATTATTTGCACCACGATCTGAACCAAAGTTTGAAACAAAAAGCGTTCTACGAACAAAACACAGAGCAAGCGATCTATTAACTCTTGGCTACTCTGTATTATTTGGGTTGGCATTAGAAATTTTCCCCCGCCTATTTGTCAGTTATGAATTTCGCTTGTTCTTGCAATATTTGCGGATTGTTGCAAAACGGAGTCCTAGTGTGTATAACAATAAGGTATATTTTACTAATGCCCTCGTATTAGAGTAATGAATAGTTTCCTTAAGATTTTTTGTGCTTGAAGGATTAGAACCATTCAAAAGGTCATTCGTCTGTAGACTAGATTTTGATAATGTGAATATATCTAAACATATTTTATTTATATAGATCATCGATCAACGATACACACTAGATATACGAATGTTTAAAAAAATTATCGAACGAATAATGCCTCATTTACAGAAAGAATTCGTTTGGAAATGTTTGAAAAATTTCCAAACGAGGAAATTCTTAATTTTGCTGTATTTTTTTGCGTACCAACAGGTTAAGTTTCATCATTATATCAGTTTTCAATTGTCCACTGCTGAACATAAGCCTGCTCCTTTAATAAAATTTTCATTTTTTTTTATAATATAATTAATATTATCGAAAAAATGTAAAATTACTATTTCGAACTCAACAAAGTGTCCCCTGTGATTGCTTATCTCATTGATTTAAGGTACCCCGCAATAAAACCCTTGGTGGGTACAAGATAACAATCAAATAACTTCATACGATAATTTCGTCCCCAAATTTTGTATCGATGTCAAATATCAGGGCACGAATGTAATTAATCCTTATACATGGTGTTCAAAAATTAACTGCCAACCATTTTATGTTATACCAGCTAGGTAATTTAATTTTAAATGACCGATTTAGAAAGTCTTGCCAAGTTAAATATATATATATATATATATATATATATATATATATATATATATATATATATATATATATATATATATATATATATATATATATATATATAATACTACTTACGGGTATATAACATAGGCCTCCCTCTTAAGGGAGTTTTGCCAGTAGTTGCCATGATTGGCAAATAGGTTGGCAATAGTACATATACCTATACTAAAATCCATAATTGATTACTCGCCTTAACATTTATAATATTTGTATAAATGCTAAATGTTATATCCAGAGGGATCCTGTGGAGGTCGACCTAACAAGTTACAATACCAGCAATAATACTGCTAGTTCTCGTTACTAACGTAACATGCCATGCCATGCCCTGTCAGGTCGACCTCCACGTGGTCAAACGTGATAACTATCATAGTTAACTCTTGATGCATTCGTTAAAATGGAGCCACTTGTACCTCGCCAGCGTAAACAAACAGTGCAGAATGGGCAACCTGAATGAATTCTGACTTCAACCATAAAAAAATCTCCAGAAGTATGAATAGTCATAATGATAATGGGGTGCAATGACCCCATATAGTCTATCGGGTCGACTTCCACGCGGTACCCCCTGAAAACCATCGTGATGGATTTATTGTTGAATTCCTCACGATGGCCTACTTCCTCTTCACCTATCATCCCTAACTGGTACCCATCATCATGTATTAAAAAAACCTCTAGAAATCAACTTGATTAATTGCCGATGATAATGACGGGTTTACTGACCTGACTTCGTCATCACCTATCATCATTCACTGATGCATCACTAGAGTACACCGATAACGCGAAAGGGGTTATAGAAAAAAAGAAAAAAAATTAAAATAAATAATACACCACGAATATGAGTAGGGCAACGGTGGGCCTTTACAAAAACCCAGTGCCCCACAAGGGGAACGGACAGGGGTAACAATGGATCTATTTACTGTTTACTTCCCTTACGACTAAACCTTAACAGCGGGCGCGTTGCCCTTTCAAGCATACATTGGTAACAAGGGAATGCAACAGCGCGTCACATTTATAATATTTACATACATATTCTTTGCCCTAGCTTACAAATTAGGGTAACTCGTGCCTTGTAAGCCAGTTTTTTTTTAATGGGTGATAATGGAATGGTAACCCCGCCCGCGCTATCGGTATACACCAACGGGACACCAGTGAAGGATGATAGGTGAGGATGAAGCAGGTAAGTTAGCACATCGTGACGAATTCAACAAGAATTGTTCACGATGGTTTCCAAGGGGAATCATGTGGAGGTCGACCTAATAGGGCATATTGCTAGCAATGGGGCTGTCAAACTCCATTGCCAACAATCCCTTCCCCCCCCCCCCCGCCCTTGTAAGCCAATTCCTTCCAACACACAAGAACTAATACTTTGTATTTTTACATGTAGAATTAACAATATTAACTGTTCTTTGCATGATTTTTTTTTACTGGTGAAATAAACCAAGGAAATAATTCATGTTCAAAATTAAAGGAAAAATGGTTAAAAAAATAAATTTGACAGCTATGGTTTTTTTTTCTGCAATGGACATTAAAAATGTATCCAGACACGATCAACTTAAAGTGAACTTGTTCTTTTATATAATAGGCGACGGTTACCACTTTCCATCAGGTGGACCGTCAGCTTGTTGGCCATTCTAAGTTAAAAAAGATAAAAAAATATTGATATAAATAAATAATAATAATAATGTATAATAATAATGATTTATTTCACACATCGTATGGTTCCGGCATTAAATGGGCCATCCGTTCTTTTTTCATGGGTGTCGTAAAAGGCGACTGAGGGAACTCATTGATCGAGAGATAAGCGGCGTCTCTCTTAAAACACCAAAGCCAAACTGCGGTTGCCAACACGCCCGCCAAGTGTGTCAACGACTGACAAAAATTTCCTAATGGGGGAGGCCTATGTTCAAAAGTTGATATTTAACAGCTAATAATAATAATAATACAATAATTAATTCCAACTTCATATAAAAGAGTTAATAATATAGTAGTACTCGTAGTAATAAAGATGGGAAAGTTATTTTGTTTGTTTGTTACCTCTAAGCGTTTTAACAATGCAATCAACTATATATATACATATACAGAGTTCTTTTACAATTATATTAACAATTTGCCTATATATATATATATATATATATATATATATATATATATATATATATATATATATATATATATATATATATATATATATATAGGCAAATGGTTAATATAATTGTAAATGAACTCTGTTAAGTTTTTTCCTAAAAACTACAGTATTGGGTTCTTTAAAAAAGGGATAAAGAGGATATATATAATAATATATATATATATTATACAACTTAGAATGGAAAACAAGCTGACGGCCCACCTGATGGAAAGTGGTAACCCAAGGTAGACATGAGCAGTACCATGGAAATAACAGAGTATACTGTTTCGCCCATGATACCCCCATACGTTGCCATTCCTGAAGACTCAGGTGTAATTCCTTTGTACCCAGTAAATTCACGCCATATCCCACCTTTCAAACCGAAACACAGCCATGCAAACACAACTGCTTAACGGTTGAAACACGAATGGGACAGAGGTACCCAAGCAATCGACTTTTGTACAAAGTCTCCCTCTGTATAGGTTACTATAGTATATTATACCATATATATGCTATATGTACTATATAGGTTTTTATTCTATCCTAAATAACTTACTAGTCATGCAAAACCACGGATAAGAATCAGTATTAATAAATAAATAAATTCCACACAATTACACTGCCACCACCAGGGGAAGACTTTGTACAAAAGTCGATTGCTTGGGTACCTCTGTCCCATTCGTGTTTCAACCGTTAAGCAGTTGTGTTTGCACAGCTGTGTTTCGGTTTGAAGAGTGGGATATGGAGTGAATTTACAGGGTACAGAGGAGTAACACCTGGGTCCTCAGGAATGGCAACGTCCGTCAGCTTGTTTGCCATTCTAAGTCGTATGGAAAAAAAAAAACAAAAAAAAGCACTAATTACCCAATTATTAAGTTAAATTAATCAGCATCCCTGAATGGAATCAATTAGGAAACCAATCGATCAATAATTTTATTTGCATAATACATCATATATCATAGTTAGCTATATGCCGCAATTTTACCCGCTTGATTTAGTATATAAAGGATCCTATGTGCTAAGTTAGCGTTAAACCTACCTATATACCACATTTCATTCAAATTCGTCTAGTATTTTTACGTGAAAGAGCAAGAAAAATCCATCCATCCCTCGTCACAAACTTTCACATTTTTATTATATAAATAGAGTTTATCTTACAGATATAAGAAAAAAGAGTTAATTTCATTTGATCGAACCGAAATTCGAAATAAACTCGGTACAATAAATTCATAATACTTTTTTTACAAACTGAACAATTATTATTATTTGAATTTTTAAATTTCGAATGTTTATTTCCTTTTGCTTGCATTTATTAGAAGCCAGTTTTGTTACAAAAGTCGATAGCTTTTATAGTTTATATTGTTTCGTGTATGTTATTACCAATTTTACATATATTTTCAATATTCTTTTTACCATTGACTATTTTATAATACTTCCGTGTTGTCCTAGGTATAATTTATTATGATTAAAACCTATTTATTATATATATACCATATGTTATTACTGGCAATTAAATAACAATCAAATTTTCCAAAAAAAATCTCTTAATTTATTAAATCTATTATCAATTAATGAATTACAATAAATGCCTATAATAATTTATTTCATTTAATTTTCAATTAATTTTAAATTAAAATACCTACATTAAGTAAATCAATATAAAAGTAATATTTATAAATAGGTAAATAAACATCTAATTATACAATAATTACCTGAAAAAACAATACAATGACATGTCAGGAGCTCAGCAACAGCACAGTTACAATTTTCAATATTGAAAACTTTTATTTTTCACGTACAGTTAAAAAAAATCGTAACAAAGAACAACGGGACTGTATAAGTAACACGAATACAGTTCTAACTACAATACGCGATAATATTAAATTCGGCAAGCGAGAGACGCGTTCACTTAGCGCGAACACACCGGCGCAACTGAGCTTGTAGCTTTTCACTGTTTTGTACGCTTGTGGAAATTTAACCATAGTTATATATAAAGCTTTAGAGTTCTGCTGTCAGTTTTTCCATCATTCATGACGGATAGATGATTAATGATTGATGATTGATAGGATACAAGCGGTGGACACGGAAGGTTTTTTTTTTCTTTAACAATCCTATTAGTTCTAACTTCCTTTACTCGTGTCAAACACTGATTACATTATTTATTTTATTATCAAGGACAAATAGTGCCTTATATTCATTCTAACTTGTCGTGTGGTCCTGACATTGAATAGGCTACCGCTTCCTTTCCCGTGGTTGTCGTAAGAGGCGACTAAGGGAGGGTCAGATATGGGCTACAGCGTCCCTCTTAAAACATTTCAAATCCTAACTGCGGTTGCCAACCCGCCTGCCAAGCGTGGCAACTATTAGCAAAATCCCTCAGTAGATGGTGACCTATGTTCAGCAGTGGACAGTAAGCGTCTGATATGGTACGATATCAAGTCAGCTTTCATTTTCATTTTACTAAGATATATAAACAAAATTGTGCGTTCATATTTGTTGAGTAAAGTCAATAAGGTGTATTTCAACAAGTCTGACCCCAGTCCAACTTCGATGAACCTGTTCAACTTCGAGATTACCAAAAAAAAGCTGAAGTCTCTAAAGCGTTTTATGAAATACTTTCTGGGTACATCCACTTTTATGAAGACTCGAAAGTAAATCATTAAACATTGTGCCTCCCAAAAACAATCGACGTCCATTATGTCAAAACCAGTTATTTTGATCTAAAAACTAAAAACCTATTCGATAAATTTCTACGGAACTAATCTACAGGTATATCCTTTCAGATAAAAAAAAAATCCAATTCGATTCACAATTAACGGAGTTATGAGGTAACAAACATATAAAAACCGTATAAAGAACTTTTTTGAAATCGATTGTAAAAGTTCGCGATCAGTAATTTAATGGATGATGATGGAATGGTAACCCCGCCTACGCCAACAGTATTACTGCTGCTGGGGACACCAGTGAGAGATGATAGGTTACGATGAAAGCAGGTCAGTTAGCCCATCGTGACAAACTCCACTAGAATCAAACACGATGGTTTCCAGGAGAACCGCGTGGAGATCGACCTGGTTGGGTATATTGCTAGCAATTGGGACCTTAGTGTGCATTACTAACAATCCCTTCCCTCGAATTTATCATGGGGAGTGCTCTGAAGAATTGTTTGGATTGATACCTGCTGCTGATTTTCACCATCCTACAACCCGCCATAAACTAAAATTTCATCCCAACCATCTAGACGAGTGGCGGCCCTCCACCGTGCCTTTTTCAAGGCACTTCCTCCCACGCACAACCACTCTTTGGAATCAACTTTCAGCAGCAGTATTTCCGAACCGATACGACATCATAACCTTCAAGAAAAGAGCATATTCCTTTTTAAAAGGCCGGCAGCACACCTGCAATGCCGTTGATGTTGTGAATGACCATGGGCGGCGGTAGTCACTTACCGTCAGGTGAGCCGCATGCTCGTTTACCCCCTTTGTTGTAAAAAAAAATAGACATCGCACTTGCTGAAAATCCAATTTCTAAAAACTCAAAAATATTAGAAGACGTCCAACATACTTCTTGTTAGGTTAGAACAGTACTAATAGTTTCCTGTAAGCTCCCTCTTCAGGATGGCGAAGAAGCGTGGAATATAATATCATGTAATAATAACAAACTCAATAGTACTTAACAATATTTTATCCCTCTTCATCCTATTGGAAAATTGTCTTGTTTTATTTCCACAATAATTAATCAATAATTCTCGTTATCTTATCAATAACGGTACTATCAGTTATTGGTTAATTGACAGTTATTTTTCATTTAATTCTTTATTAAGAAAAGAGCATATCCCTTTTTAAAAGGCCGGCAGCACACCTGCAATGCCTCTGGTGTTGCGGGTGATCATGGCCGGCGGTAGTCACTTACCATCAGGTGAGCTGCATGCTCGTTTGCCCTCAGTGTTGTAAAAAAAAATTTAAAACAATTATATTTTATTGTACAAGAAAAAAAGCACCGAGTTCAAAAATGTGGCAATATCAGTTATTTTGACGTAAAAACCAAACTATTAAAACCAATCTGACTCCTTTGAAATAAAAAAAAGCATTTTCCAAAACGATTTATATATAAAGAAAATTCAACCTAACTGAGTACCTCCTCTCCTTTTTGCAGTCGGTTAAAACCCCAACTTCCCGAGAAAAGAAAATTAAACCCTTTTTATTGTAAAAGAATAATCGAAATCTGTACAATTGACAACTTTCTTTGTGATAGTTTTTCAGTTGACTTATTTCGATGGACAGACTGACTGATCTATCCATGCTTTGAGCCGCTGGGATTAGTTTTATATATTGCACGGCAGCAACTTATATGACAAAAGCATACATAAAGAATGTAGATAGATAGATAGACAGATACTCTTTATTGTTTCCTCCAAAAGATTACAATGGTAAACATATTATAAATATAAACAATTAAAAGAAATAATCACAATGAGAAAACAATAGGCGATTTGTTAGTTATAGGGTCAAATAGCCCCATTACTAGCAATATACCCTATCAGGTCAACCTCCATGCGGTTCCCCCTGGAAACCATTATGGTTAATTCCCGTGGAATTCTCGACGATGAGCTAACTGACCTGCTTTCATTCTCACCTGTCACCTTTCAGTGGTGCCATGCCAGCGTATATTGAATGCGCGGGCAGGGTTACCATATATATATATATATATATATATATATATATATATATATATATATATATATATATATATATATATATATATATATATATATATATATATATATTATAGGTAGCTAGAATTTTCAATGACATCAATTTATATACATAGATATTTTGAACAGAGCAACATCATAAATTATATTACAATTACAGATTAAATTAATTTCACAATATATACATATTATTAGAAAAAATATTTACAAAATTGATTGAAATGCAATTAGTAAATTGGGTTTGAAGGTTGGGATATGGCAGTGAATTTACAGGGTATAGAGGAATAACACCTAAATCCTCAGGACAGCAAGGCATGGGGGGTGTAATAGGCGAAACAGTATACTCTGTTATGTCCATGGTATTGCTCATGTCTATAGACGACAGTTACCTCTTTCCATCAGGTGAGTCGTCAGCTTGTTTAGCATTCTTGAATTTAGAATGTGAATAAAACCGATAGTTATTACTAACGTGAGTTATACTCACGATAGTTATTATTTAACAAATCTTTTACAATTTATAAGAATAATAAACGTAATAAACTCAACAGTTACTCATCCATAAACTGACACTTCAAATATTCAGTCAAACTAAAAACCTTTTTTCCGTTGAATCGAATTCACAATTCACCTTTTCAAATCCCAAGCTGCTCCAACATTTTCCAAGATTACCATTTAAAACAAATCGACATCTTCAAATCCACCCCCCCCCCCTCCCACCCTCCTTCCATTACAAGAACAACTACAATATATCAGAAACTCGATGAGCGTGATCAACACTTAACATTATTCACGGCGTATTCGATTTTATGGTCCCTACGTGATAGGTACCCACGGTGCCTGCGTTTCCTTTCAGAGGGAAAATAAATCTGTTATTACCCACTCTCATGGTCAGTCCAAACATCAAAATGTTATAAATATATCAGGAATTATTGCAATCTCTATAAATAACATGAATATTGGGTAAATTTACAAGCCGTGTTTCGACGGTGGTATCCAATTTCGCTGGCACAACACTCCCTTTAAATGAGCTAACGATTTCGACTTCACCATATTTATTGCTCGGCAAATAATTTAAGATTACGTTCTATAATAAAAAATTCCAATTTAATCGTGGCAAAATAAGTTATTTTTATTTAAAAACTAATCTTGTTAAACGATACTGATTTTAGACATAGTACATTTAAATAAATACATATAAAGTTAACAGAGATTTAAAAGAGTTACTGTTGAGTTTTTTTGCGGGCTCTTCTCAACAGACAACGACCTTCCGATCCCTGCAATAGATTTATAAAAAATTACGATTTACGAGTAAAAATGCTTGTAAACAAGTTTGAATAAAGATGATTTGAATTCGATATTTTTATACGTAAACTATAAACTTTTTGATTTAAAATATAGTTATTTCTAAATCGGTTTATAAATGACTGTATATATTGTACAAGTAAATAATATTGTAGAGGAACACTGATAATGGTGCTCTAAGGTAACTAACATAATAAAATGGAATTGAATTAAAATTTCCCACCTTTTTTGAAGTCTCTTAAAAAAAGTGACTTCACTATTGAACGCGCCATTAAACGTCCAGACGTTACGTAAACACCTTACGACAATATGTTTTTTTATGCAACTTAGAATTGCAAACAAGCTGACGGACCACCTGATGGAAAGTGGTAACCGTCGCCTATAGATATAAGCAGTACCATAGACACAACAGAGTATACTGTTTCGCCCATGATACCTCCCATGCGTTGCCATTCCTGAGGACTCAGGTTGTTATTCCTCTGTACCTTGTGAATTCACTGCCATATCCCACACTTCAAACCGAAACACAATCATGCAAACATAACTGCTTCACGGTAGACAATCATGCAAACATAACTGCTTCACGGTAGAGACACGAATGAGACAAAGGTGTACAAGCAAACGACTTTTGTACATGGCCTATGCCGATAACGCAGGCGGGGTTACCTTTACGTTAATATCCGTTAAAAAAATGTTTTATATTTTATTTATTACAGTATAATTACACGTGTCTAGATCTTTGGCGTAGCCTATTCACACCAGTATTCGATTAACATATTCAGATTTCCGAAACCTCTTTGCATACATAAGTAACTCAGTAAGATCAGCGCCAGGCTCGAATGTACACGGTGGAAGTACAGAATTTGCTGTAGGTACATATTACACTAGCGATCTTGGTCCGGCTTCGC